CCAGACCCAATTTGGTAGAAATCAGCATATACCTGGACCAGTGTTCCATTATATGTCCAGATTTTCTCTTACTTTTTCATAAACATTTCTTTTTTATAGAAGTTAGTAAAGCACAACACAATATCTTTGGATGCCATTCTTCTGCTGCATTTTGCACTCAATCGATGCAGCCTTTCCAAATCTTCTGCCTTCTTTTGTGGGCAGAGGTGAGTGCTGGCCCTGTCTATGTATGTGTGTGCACATGCACACTTGAGCTTCCTTGTGCTGCTTTGAGGAGCAAGAGGAAAGGTGCTTTGTCGTAAGCACTGCTTTTTGTATGTACAGTTGCTTGGTATTTCTGTAGAAAGGTTTTTCAGGAATGTAGTAGTCTGACAGTGAGCCATAATCATGATAGATTGCTTTTTCATGTCTGCCCCTGGACTTGAACATCACACTTCCAACTACCTGCATCACCTGAAATACCACTTTTACCTTTTTACAAACATGTATCAGCTGGCAGCATAGGAAAAAAAAGTGTTCAAATAATTCCAGCTAGAAAAAAGTAGAAGTCCTCCAGTGGCAGGGGAAAAATGCTTTGGGAGCAAAAAGGGCTGGACAAATTTGATTCACCCTTTGTGTCATGCAGTCAGTAAAGAGTTCTTCAAATTCAGCTGTTTTTTTGTTTTTTTTAAGAAGAGCAAATCCCGCCATAGTCGCACTCTCAGTCTCTTCCTCCCACTTAATCAAACATCTATCTGATTGACATAGAGTGTTGCTTGAAAAATAATCCAGTGCATGTTTCAATAATCCAGAACATTCGAGTTCATGGGATGAAGATGTGTTGCCCTAAAAAATGTAAAGTTCTTTTAAAAGGTGCCTAAAAGGTTGCTGAGAAAGTGAAAGTAAGGCAGAAATATAGTTTGATTTCCATGGTTTACTAAATAAGTCTGCCGCTTAGCAAAATAGCCAGATTGTTTTGGTACAAAACTACTGATAAAATAACAAGGCAGAAGTAACTCATTCAGTTTCGTGCCAGTTTTTACCAGAAAGAGTAAAGAGAATGATGACGCCATGTGAAACAAAGAAAAGAAAAAATGAAGTTCATTTTAAAATGCTGCTTATGTAGTGCTTGTTAATTGACAAAGACATGTCAGAAAATACATATGGAAACCTGCGTTAGGCTGATGAGAGTAACAATATATTGTACAATAGACGCTTTTACAGAATCATCTAAAAGGAGAAAAAAATGAATGTTATTTTAAGCTGTTTGTTTTATAAGCAAGTGGAAAAATGTCATTTGTTCTATAAGGCTTTAGCCTCATAATTGATAATACGTTTTTTGAAAAGGGGTATAAAATTATATGTTAATCTGTAACACCATCTATAGGCATTAAAATGACCTACATCTCCATGCGCTACCAGCAAACTCGCTCCCCTGCTCTTCACTAGGGTACTGATAAGCTGCAGTTGCCCTTATCAGGAGGATTGAAATGCTCCCACAGTGATACATTCTGTTACCTGATCACTGTCACCGTAATGTCCTATACCAGCAATATCAGCTTTGCTGATAAGGCAGGTTGTTTTGGTTTGATTGAAGTATAAATGTGGGGTGAGATCACATAGAGTCTTCTTGAATGAGACAGGATGGGAGACTGATGGAGAGGCAGCTTATCCAAAGAGGACGTAAAGCATGGAACTGATGTCAGGCCAACGTCTTTAGAGCTGCAGAAAGATAACAGCATGGCACTGACAGCCGGCAATGGATTTTACATAAGACTCGATGAGAAAAGGGTTTTCTCTTTATGTTAGAAATGCTTTTCATTTTGTATTTTCTTATTGTAAGAACCTTGATATCATATGAATTTTTAAGGAAGCTTTTAAAGTTATATTGCTTTTTATTTTTAAATGATGTATTCTAGAAATGAATTCTCTGCATTTATAGGCTAAAAGCTCCTGTATTTTATATTCAGGTACAACTTAAGTTCAGTTTTCATCTGTTTAAACATTAACATGGCTTAGTTAATAGCTGTGAAGATGGTTTTAAAGCAACATTCCTGTGATTTGTCAAAAGTTATGTGTTTTTAAATACAGTACAGTACTTTTGGATGTTATGTCTTTCATATGAAACATAGTTATATAGAAATAAGTCTTGTAGAACATTAACAAGTTTTGACATTGCCTGGAATTATTACAAAAATAAAATACTTATAATTGGATACCCAGATGAGCTTGGAGAAGCTAGTTACTGATTGTCATTTTCATTCTGGAATTAACCCTTTCCTGGGATAATGTCAGCTATGACAAATAATAGGCTTCTGTTCTTCACCTGGGAGGTCTATAACTCTTTGTAGGATTCCTGGGGGAGTCAGGCATCCTAATCAAGTTCAGACAATATGGTTCTGTAAAGCCAGGGTGACAAACATGTGGCTTTCCATTTGTTGCTAAACTGCAAGTCCCATTAACGTTAGCAAACATAGCCAGTGGTGAAGGCTGATGGGATCTGAAATGGGCACATATTCCTTATCTCTGCTCTGTAGTCTGGAGAAATTGTTGTGCCATCTACTCTGCATATCTATTTATTAAACAGCCTTTCTGTGTGTGAGAGAGAGAAATACAGAGCCTTTGAAGAAGAATGAATTATTCAGAATGAGCAAATAGAAGACACACTGAGTTAGACAAAAACTCTACAGTCTAGAATTTTGTTTCCACCAACCAGATGCTGATTTGAAGCCCACTGAAATACAATTGCATCTTTGAGTAGTGGGGGAATTGTTAATATAAGTACCTGCTGAACTTTGGCTTTTCTGACTAATGTCCATTTTGTGTTTGTTTACATCACAGACTCTCTTCTCTTCAGTGAAATTGGTGATTTGATAGGGGAACCTGAACTGCCACTGGAGGCAGAGAATGAGATTTATGTGAGTATCACTAATAGAAATTGTTGAATGAGTCTGAAATGTGTCCGATTAATAAGTAAAACCAACTTGATTTGGTGTATTCTATATTGGATGCATACTTATCATTTACACAGTGCCGTGATTTTTCCCTTTATTTGCAAAAAGGTAGGACCACTTGTGTTGTATTTCTTTCTATTTAGCATACGCTTTGCACTGAATTTAATAACCAGGAACGCGACAGGTTCCTGTCTTGCATTTTCAACAATGAGCTGGTTTGCAACAATGCAAACTGTGTTCTATGCATTCTAAGCACGATTTGTGGCTTGTTTTTGGCAGGAAACTCCACTTTAAAACAGTAGTTTGAAGTTTGTTTGTTTGTTTGTTTACAATACTTTGCCCCATCTTTCTAGTTAAATAGGAGAATTCTGGCTTTCTTTTAAGTGTGGTTTGGCATTGTGTTTGAAGCTAGAATTTTGATTTAGTTCTGTACTTTGCCCAAGCCTCTTGCCAGTCCATGACTGTATGATCCTAAGCAGTTGAAAAGAGATTTGCTCCTCTTTGCTTTTCTTCCTGCCTCCAAACTCCCTATCTCTTTTCATGCTTCCTGGCAACAGTCTTCCTATGCCTACCTTCTTCATGAACAGAAACCAGAGGTGGGTTCCGACATTTTTGCATAGAAGAGAATGCACACATACCAACATAGACATCCCCACAACATGAGAAAGTATATATATTAGGAATCTTTTAAACAATACAATTCTGTCATAAAAACTCCAGATTAATAGTCTGCACTTCCTGGGGGAGAAACATTACAAAAAAATCTCTGCAAACAAAACAAAGTCAACAAGCAACCACTGAAGTAGGAGTGAGAAATAGAGTTCAGAAGCTGTACATACCCGCCTTGACCTCATTCCCCCCCTTCAAAAATGTATTTTTAACTGAAAAGCCTCTCCAGCACTCCAAAATATTTTTCTTTTTTCTTTTCTTTTCTTTAAAGGAATGTTGGAAGTGTGGTGCCTTCTCCAAAGCATGGTGTTGCCCCTATTCCTGAAGGAGACAAAGGGACTTTCTGAGCCTCTTCTTTTTTTTTCTAAAATGTTTGATAGTTTCAGAGGCATATGGGAGTGATGGGGGGGGGCTTTGTGCCATGGCAGTCTGTATATTTCTGTTGGGTTTTGTGTAGTTGCACTGTAAAAAGCAGGACAGTTATAGGCTTTGACAAAACTCTTCAGTCAGACAACAGTAAAAAGAAGAAACAATATTTACTTGCAAAATTATCTGCTCAAAAACTTTGTGTGAAGATATGATAGAGGCAGTGTTTCAATGAGGCAGAGCAGCTTAGCCAGGGTGCTGCCTCTGAGTGGAGGAGGGGAAGAGCTGAACACCTGCTTGGCTGATAGGCACAGGCTGCCAAACCAGCACTTTGTGACCATCTCTGAACATCCTGTTAATCTGGTAACAACTGGAAAAAAACTGCCTCGGAGCAAAGACATTTAAGCCCTTAATGGCGGGAAGAGCTGTTTATTGGTTGTTTAAAAACAAGTAAACAAGCAAGTTAAGTTTATTTATTCATTTATTTATTTGATTTATACCCCGCCTATCTGGACTACCAGACCACTCTAGGCAGCTTCCAATACAAAATCAGACAATAAAACACAGGTAAGTACATGATAATTCAGTAATAGCTACAATGAAATAAAGGATAGGGAAAAGTAAGAAAAAAATTAAAAATCAAGAGTTGGCTGGAGGGAAGGCCTGAATGAACAACCATGTTTTCAATTGGGTTTTAAAGTTTAAATAAATAACATGCTGGGTTGCTACTCACCCCATCCTAAAGCGTTCAGACATCCCCTAATATACGAAGGCCACAACACTGATTCATAACCACCTAGCTGCCCCTCCAACCCAAGTTGGGCAGAACTGTCATTTATTGCTGCTAGAACTTTGGAGATACCATCTGGGTATTAATAGAAGAGGATGAGGGGAAGCAAACTAGGAATTAACAACAATAACAACAACAAAAGCATGACTACTTTATTCATCCATAGATGGAGGCTGCAAAGTCAAGAAACTGATTAAAATTTTGTTGCAGCATTATGTGAGTGGAGCCAGTAGGTGTTAAATTTTCACTGTGAAAGAGAAGTAGCATTCTGTACGAACTTCCTCAATATGAAATTGTTGTTCAGTGAATTGTTTTTTGTATCTGGGAGAGGGAGGTTGAATGTTTGAGAGCTAGAATGTAACTCAGTGTAAAATTAAGTTGAACTCTGTTTAGCTTTGTCAGTTGTTATGTTATAGTAAGAACATCTTATATATTTTATTGTTAAAACTGTCTGGGCTCATATATTTTGGCTGAAGGCAAGCCTATTAAAAGAAAGGGCATTTTAAATTTGATTAGCCAGGGTGAAGGCTGGTTACAGTTAGTAAAATAATAAATAAAAAAACATTAATTCAGCACTAATGGTGAAAAGTTTCAGACTTGCAGTAAGTGATTGCTTGCTGGTAAAAGTAGAGCAAATATGTGACACCAAAAAACTTTTGGGTTCAGAATCTCCAGACAAGATGTTCGGTAGGTGTAATACACATCTGAAAATATCTGTCAGTATCGCCTCATATACCAAAGCTACTGTCTGAGCATGATAGCAGTAAATAAAACAGATAAAGGTGAGGAATTTTTAGTAGTGATGTGTCATTTGGATTTTTGGGACTCCCAACTCCCAGAATTCTCCAGGCAGAATTACAGGAATTCCAGCCCACATGGCCACACTTCTACACCTATATTTCAATCACCCAGAGCAAAACCTAGTTCTCTGAGTCCTTATGTCATTGTAGGCCTTCATGTGCTGCTTCAGTGCTTCCTGGAAATAAGCTGCCACAAAGCTTTCTGGGTGTCATAGGTTTGTGATCAGTGTTTCCTACAGAGCCTAAAGAGTGGTAAGGCTGCTTGCTATTCACAGGGAGCATCAAATTCGCCCGGGGGAATTCCTCAATAATTCCGGGAGTTGGAATCCAAAATACCAGAATGGCACATCTCTAGTTGGTGAAACTGACATATCCGACTGTTCCCCTAAGTGTTTTCCAGGTAAAAGATCTTCCTGATTGTCATCCTGCTCAATATGTATTAAATAGGTAAAGTCTACAAAATAGTTTGTCAGTTTACTGTTTATACTCTACAGTACTTTTAAATGTTTTTCACTCTGGAATGTTCCTTATTGTGTTCTGTAGGAAAACAGCTTTTGTGACCTTGACTTTGATATAGATCTGATGTCTTGGGACTCAGAACCCTGGGATGTTTCGAAACAGATCACAGCAGGTAATTTCAGATCAAGTTGCTGATCACAGTATTTGTTTATATCCTGCTTTTTTCTAGTGAACTCAAGACAAGATATGTTACTCTCCTCTTCCCCATTTTACCCTCACAACAACTTTAGGAGGGGCAAGCTAAAAGTCATGTAGTGAGTTTCATGGCTCATTAGAAGTTAGAATCCAGATCCCTATCCAACAACCATTAAACCACTCTTGCTCTCAGGCAATTATAAGATTAGATGCTCACTTGAAAGATCTCCTTTTCATGATACAACTTAAATAAAGGGTGGGGTAGCTTTTTATGAAATACTTTTCACCCTGGGGAAAAGTCAGTTAAGAGTGGGAGCTCATAGGAAGTGCACTCTGAGGGAAATGCAAAAGGAATTGTCTTCTACCTAATTAAAGACAGACTACAAAAACAAACTAGAAGAAGGAGCTGTTTCTGTGTCACTGGAAAATAAGGTGTTTTATTTGAATGCCAGAGAGAAGTTGGATGAAGCCCTTCTTTAAAGAAATCTTGAACTGATAAGCTCTGTACTTCTGCATTTTACAGATGCATGCTGGAAAGCAGAACCTCTCTCACCAGCCACCTCAGCAGAATCAGTTCCTTCTCCTTTATCTGTGGATTCTCCAGCACAACATGTTCCTGTAAGTAGTTCAGTACTTTAGATTGGTCAGATGTGTTTAATTAGGTTCGGGTTTTGAATAGAGATGAGCACTTGCCACGATTCGGTGGATTGGGACCACAGGTGTTTCATGGACACCCCAGGTTCTCTGCCCTGCCACCTCCTGAGGGTTCCCCTCCCAGAAGAGGAGGAGGTGGTGCAGGGAACTCCTCAGCGCTGCTTCTGACAGGGCAGCTGTGAGAGGAGGTGGGGTGCAGAATCTGGGTCCCCACGCAACACCCATGGGCCTGATCAGCAGCAATTAAACAGAGTTGTGGACAGAAGTGCAAATTTGAAAGCAGTCATTTAGTTAGCAAGTATCTTATCACTTTGTGAAACTCAGAAAGTCTACTTTTGTGCTTTTCTTTTTAACTTTTTCTAGGAAGGCACAGAGTTGGGGTTGAGTTCCCAGTCATCTCCTGTTTCCATATATGGCCAGTGCTCTCAAACACCTGACTTACCTTTAGAAGAAAAGGAGAAGAAGCCCCCATCCAAAACAAAGCATTGTTCAGGTATGAAGCTTGTTTTGACCATCTCCAGTACAGAAGCAAGCATCCTGGCTTTTTAACTGATGAGATGATTTGTATTTTAAGTCTATATAAATTTATGTACGTAGGTTCTGAAGAAAGAAGAAGAGTTTTGAAGGAACATTCTTTGCATGCAGAGGATGACATTTCTCTCTTGTGGGATTGTGCTGCTTCTACGTTGATGTGTGCAACTTTTAGAAATAATTCTTTTTTCAATGATCAGCTGCTTAATTAATCAGTACTTTTAAAAAACTTGTGATTAAAAACATTAATTAGATCAACTAAACATTGCAGACATGCTAGGAATCTACTAGGAATACAGAAGGATTTGTTGTATAGATGGTTGTTGAAATTATTTATCCTACTCCCATTTTCATTTACTTTCTACTGGGTAAAGTCTCTTGTCGTACATGATCCTTAGAAAATAGAAACTAAATAAAAGACTTGCAGGGAGATCTCTGGGGTTCTCCAGTATCAAAACATGATGTACACATACTTATAAATAAGGGATGGTAGTTTATTCAGTTTGAAAAAATCTACAAAGCTACTTGGCTGGTTTGCATGTTATATTGAACGGTATAGTTGAGTGTTGTTGTATACAGGAGCTGGACAGCGTGCTAGTGAAGTATTGCAAGCTTTTGTGTTCCTCCTTCTCCTCTGGTCCTGTTGTGTGACTGGGAGATGTTTCAGGACCTTCCATTCATTATTTGTCTTTACATAAAGAAGCAGAGTTAATGGTTAGACACGAACCTGAATTAGTTATACAGGTTAGCTTCACAATCCACCATTTGAAGATGGCTTGTTTGAATCTATCAGAAATGTGTTTTAGGTATGAAAAGTATCTGTTTTTCGTGTAAGGACTGTTGGAAAAACAGAAAGCAAATATAAACAAACCTCTCTACTGGCTGCCGGGGAGAAGGACTGGGAAGGGGATTGAGGCTGTGCAGTTCCCAAGCTTCAATTTAGGGTTCTTTTCAGATCATGCGTCCAATTCGTCCAACATAACTTACTAAGCACTTTAGAAGCAGAGCTGATATCCTGGTATCCACCAGATGTTAGCATTATTTGTATGAACCAGTCCATTTTTAAGCTTGTCTTTTTTCTATACATAAAGTAAACCTCCAGATTTTGTGGACCTTGAAAGACTGATTTTATGGTCTGATTAAGTTGTATTCTCATCAATGAAACCCTGTTTCCTCTCCTCCTGCCTAGCACAATTAAGAGATAAGGGCAGGCTGGTTTCCCGAAAATATTATTGTCTGCTCTTCCTATAAGTCTGTCCCAGAATAGATCAAGGAGTATGGGATATGTCGTTCTGTGATTGGAAATTTTATAGGAGGGAAAGCCTAAGATATCTGATGGGTACCTAGATAGCAATGGAATTTTTTTAGAAAAAAAAAATCTGTCACTACAGTTGAATTCCCTGGGTGCTCACCATCACATTCATGTATGTCTAGGGCTGGCAGCAGTTAGTGGTTGCTGCCTCTTTTGTAAAAGCACTTCAGCTTCAATTCTGTTTTATTCTGTTCTACAGCAAATGGATCATCAGTGACCCTAAATCGATGTAATCCTCTGGTCTCCAAACCTTTGATTCAGCCCAAACCTCTTTTGCCTGCCTTTCGGGAAACTCAAGCCAGCCTTGGTGTTCAGACCAAAGCCATTGTCATTCCAGCTCTTCCCACACTCCTGACGCTGCCGAAGCAGCAGCCAGTTGTTGCTATCCAGGCCGCAACTCCCAGAAGTAAGTGAACAGTCTGCGGGGGGTGGGGGTGGGTGGGCGCGGGTAGAAGAAGTGTCATGCTGTTCTGGAGGAAGAATCTTACAGGATGCAAACAACTGTCTGCTCTCCCTAGATGGGTTTGGGTTTTTCTTTCTTGGTTGCTAGATTAGAATACTTTAAAAAAACTGTAGCCAGTTTAATGAAAGATATTGACTTGGAAATGTATTGGTTTGTTTTTAAAATAGAAGAAATCTCAGAGTATCTGACAAAGAAGAAACTGTTTATTAGGGTCTATTTATTGGAAAATATTTGGATTGGAAAATTCATTGATCTGGACGGAGACTGTCATTAGGAACTTAGAAGCTTCTAACTGATACTAGAATCCCACTCCATGTTCAGAGACAGGATTTCTCTAATTATGATGCATCTAGTGGGGATGTGCCTCTTCAGCTTTTTCTGCTTGTGTACTTCTGAGAAGCACCTTAATTGGCCACTGCTAGAAAGATAAGATTGAAGATAGTGGACACTTGGTTTAATCTGGCAGAGGCTGTTACATTTTTAAGGGTACCTCCTGTGTCATGGAGTACATACATGTTAAAAATTGAATGAGTTCTCAAAACTGGTATATGATACTACTCAGAGGGTGATATTTACAGTTGGAATGGGAATCTCCCTGAACTAATGCAAGCCTTAGGACTAAACAAGTAAAATTTCTGGAAATTTCAAAGCCGTATAAAATGACTTTGGAAAAATCCCAGAAAAAAATCAGTTTTTTTCTCCCATTTTCCCAGGTTTTTTCCAAGCCTTTCCATCTCTACTTTGGAAATGGCTAAAAAATTTTTTTGATCTCCTGGCAGATGTCTAAATGGCCTAGGATGTGAAATGCTCTTCTGTACCTGACATAAAAGATAGGAGCAATGCATTTAGACTTTTTTTGGATTTTGACCGCTAAAATTCTTCAAGAATTTCCCAGGCAGAACCTACAGACATACTCACTTTTTACTCACCTAGAGAAGGGCTTAGCTATAAATGGCACATCCCTAATAAGTACCTTTTACACCGTGGAGGGGTGGTGGTGCATCAGTATACCTATCAAGAGACAAAAAGCAATATCACTGATTCTGATTTCTCTATAAATGCTTAATCCAGAGACTACTTGCACTCATCTACACACTACAAAAAAACAATAATCTCAGAATAAGATGTGAGCCACAGGAGGTTGTGAAACAGGGATGTATTCAAGCTCCCTTATTGTTCATTTTTATATTAATTCTTTGGTTCAAGCCTTACAAATCCTGATTTCCACCCACCCAAACTTATAAACAGGACAATCTCTGCTCTACTGTATGCAGATAATACAGTAATTGTATCTGTTACTAAAGTGGGGCTTATTACAAGATGAAGAGCATCTTTCAATAGATTACCAATAAGACCAAAATCTTGGATTTCACTAGAGATGGGGGTATTCATACACGAATATGAATATCCCCCCCACAGGTGGAAATAACAAGGGTCTGGCCCCATGGGGCTGGATTGTCCACTCACCATTTCGCTGCTGATGCAAGCCTTCCTGTAGCGCCATTGCCTGCAATGGGTTAGCCACTCTGTGACCTGGCAGAGAGGCTTGTCATCCCGCCTCCTGCCAGGAATGGTTAATCCACTGCAGACAACGGTACAATGAGCCCCCGCGAGCGCCACTGCATGCATGCATGCAAGCATTCTCCGCCCCTGTGAGTGTGCTGCGCGCATGAGTGTCCCCTGCATGCACAGAAATGCACTCCACCCTGCGAGTGTGCTGCATGTATGTACATTAGCACCACCACACATGCGCATGAGCATGCTCCATCCCCTGCAGGCACAAGCTCCCCTGCAAGCATGCCATGCCCCCCACTGGTCTGTGGTTGGGAAAAGGTGGGGGACCACTGGCTTAGAGGAAACATTGGTGGAGCCCCTCCCAAACTAGAAGTCTGTCTCCAGTTATAACTGGGGGAATGTAACTTAAAAGAGACCAAAAGTGAGAGAGGGAAGCTACAAGATCTTTACCAAATTTTTCTCCCCTACTCCTGCCTGTCCATTAGCCCTGTTTAATGACTTATAACCCCAGGAAGTAGATCACAGTGGCTGGTGTCAATGGGACATTTTAAAAAAATCAGGGTTGCAGGAGGGGTCACCTCAAGGGGGAGGACTCAAGGGTACACAGTGCTAGCAACTCTGAAAGTGCCTATTTATTTATTTTTACCTAGTGGTTTTTTCTTTACTTGCATTTATGCCAGGGGTGGTATATGCAAATGAGTTATGCCAATGAGTGTACCAGCAGTCCTTTTTGTATGAAATGATCCCTGGGTTGTAGTATATAGAAAAAAATTATAAGACTTTTAAATAATTATATTCCATGGCACTGTTGTGGTATTTATCTTAAAAATTTAAAATATAAATTTTCAGTTGCATTTTTTTCCAAGAAACTAGTCTGTATAAAACTGTGCCTCTCTCGGGTCAGCTCTGCGCTCCTCTGAGTTCAGTTCTGCGACCCTCTCAGGTCAGTTTTGTGTCTCTTTCTCAAGGCGGTTGCCTAGTTCGCCTAGTGGCAGCTTCGGCCCTGGGTGTAGTCTTTCAAACAAACAGGCTGTAGAGAGCCCACATTATCCATGTCACTGAAAATGCTCAAAGAACTACTATTGCCATCTTGAGATTCTTCTTTTCAAAAGGGGGCTCCTAGGTCTAAGTCTTCTAAGACAAGTTACTAGCCCAACTACTGTATGGTTCAGGCCTATGTGTATAAATAAGACTTCCACTGCTTTGAGGTAGTATAGTCTAAATTCGTAACCTTTTCTTTACCACAGACCCCCCTTTAAATGTCTTTTGTTACCGCACACCACGAAGACTTAATTCAAGATTAAAACCCTAAAGCCAGCAATCCATTCTGAGGCTTGCCCAAAATATATTGTTAAAAGATTCACTGTGATAGTATAAAAAAGTCACTTTACTCGACAATAACGAATACAGTTTTATTAGCAGAAATCAAAGAAGACACATGATCACAAAGTCCATCGAAACACTCACGTACACTGAAAATGACTCCGACTCTTTCTGTGGCTTCTGACTACAGTGGCAAGAAATGTCATGTGCTATCTCTCAGACACTCAGCGTCATTCACTTGCATGTTTTCACAATGTGCAGAAATATCAAACAGTTATTTGTTATCAAATAGTTGTTTTCATTACTGATCTTTTGTTTGTTTTTAATGGAGGTAGTAGGTTAGAAAAGCTAATTTTTATACAAACAAGCAAGGGAAGTTAAGATTTTGTTCTATGTTTCCTTTTCTTTCTTACTTTCTTTCTTTCTTTCATTCATTCATTCTATTTTAACTGCAAAAGATCATAAGATTTCTTCATGCCTTTGCGGTCATCCTGTGAGGACTTTGCAGTCTACCAGGGGGTCTGCAGACCACAGGTTAAGAACCTATGGTCTAAATTCTTGAAAACTGTATTTGGTGTGCCACGTTCTATCCCTAATGCCCTGCTCAGATTAGAAGCTGGGATGGTCCCGCTTAAAGCAAGTGTGTGACTTCAAATACTCTTTAAAACTTAACCCAGTTGGCTTAGCACCTCTGGTTTTAATAGATAACCATCCCTTAGGCTGAGCAAGAGCATTGGAGGGAAAATTCTCATCCTGTGGGATATCCCTTCCAGCTTTGTTACATTTCGTGTTTGTGAAAGCCAAAGAGACTATCAGGAAGCAAATCTGGGATACAGCCCTCCAACTCGACAGAGCACAGAGCACAGATCTCATATTACTCAGTGCTGGGAATCATAGTAAGATCTTCATCCCACCAGATTACTTTTTACAACTTAGAATTTGCAAGGCATCAGAGAGCTTTCACCCTGGCCCATTTCAGTGCTTTGACTTCAACCATTCTAGAGGGAAAACACTCATGTATCTCTTACAATCGACACCTTTGCCCTTGACAGTCTGGTATGGTGCAAACCATGGAACATGCCCTGCTGTATTGCACATTTTATAAAGTCATCATTTTAGAAGAGGCTGTGTTAGTCTGCGCTAGCATGTCAGGCAGTAACAAAATAAAACAAAACAAGACAAAAATGTTGTCTGAATAAGTGGATTTGTTCACAAAAGCTCCCATTAAAATACTGTATAGCAGTTAGTCTTTAAGGCGCCACAACATTTTTGTCTTCTTAATTTTTTTAAGTTGTATTTTTCCTGACATTTTATAAATTTGTGCACAGTCTACTTATTTCCCCAATTTTAAAACATCATAGCGGCAGACCTGATAAATGTTATGTCTCTTTTCTTCTCTCCAATGCCTGAAGTGAAAGTTACAGCTAAGGTTGCAAAATTCAATGCAGCAACTTATTTAATAAGAAAACAGATAATTAAGTCACTGCAGTAATTGGATTAAAAACTTACATTTAATTTAAATTTGAATTTCAGTCTGCTTTGTATTGCTTGTAAACGCTATATGACACTATTGTATTTTAGTTTTGTATATCTAACATGGCTGACCTGTGGTAGTACGTAATAACAATAAAGGTTCAAAGACAAAAATGCTTGCTTCACACTGTGTACTTTTTGTCTTCTATCATCAGGTCAGTCTGTGATGTTTCCTCAGTCCGCAGTTGTGCACCTTCAGACACCTGCAATCCTTCCTGCCACCAAGCCAGCCATTGCTGTTACTGGTGGGGCCACAGGGCAGGCTGTGAACATACTGCCACAAACAGCAAGGAAATGTTTGTCCAGTTCAAACCTACCTACTAAGCCTATTCTTCATGCCACTTCCCCAAATGCTGGCACAGATGTAAGTTCTCTATAATGGATATTTACAATTGTACGTGGAGACCTTGATTTGTTGTCAGTCTCCTTTCACGATTCCAGGAAAATTGTGGGCAAGCATCAGTAGTGACTCTGTAATTCAGGCCATGCAATTTCTAGTTTGAAGTGGGATCTGGCATCCCTGCAATTTTCATTTTTGACTAATCATACCAACAAACTGGCTCTCCTTCATGATGAGGTGAAGATAAACATTGGAAGTTGTTCTTGGAGTTTGTGCGAAATGCAAGAAAAATCAAGTGTGATTTTAAAGAGTATGGATGAGATGGGCATGAACCGGTGGTTTGATGCAGTTTGCTTCCTGGCCAAACAGCTGTTCAGTACCCTGCCCTTTCTGGTGGCGCACACTTCAGTAGTGCCCAGAGGAGGCGGGGCAGGGTGGTGCCACTGAGTAGGGTGGTGCCACTAGATGGGGCAGGGTGCCAAACCATGGATCAGCTGTTCGTCCAGGAAATGAACTGTGTTGAATTGCTGAACCAGGAGTTCATGCCCATCTCTCTCTATAGGCCCTTATAGCCTATTCTCGATGAGTTACAGATGCCTACGGGTGCTTTTTCCTACTACTCTCCCACTGCATTCATCAAAGGAATAACGTGGTGTCATTGTCGTGCTTCTTTAGGCTAGGGATCTCTTTGTATCACAGTTTGTGTAACCTATGTTACTAGGCAGTGGAGATGTCTGCTTCCCAGTTTTTGTAAAACTTCATGGTAGTCCAGTGAGATAATTTTATCTCTTTTGGATACTATGCTGTTCAGTGGAAGAAGGAAGTGATCAGTTGTGAAGAATATGTGGAAGAACTGAATGCCAGGCTACCAAAGACTCAAAGTCAAGTCTTAAAAATACTGTAAATATTAGCAAAATTGCAAACTTGGACAGTGAAGTAGGACTGCTAAATATAGCTGTGTGTGTCTGTAGGAGGCACCCTGATTTCAAATGGACTGTTCTGTCCATAGTGGTTTTTTGAGAATCATACTTAGAGAGATTGAAGTAGGAACTCTGGCTTAAAGCAACATGAAAATTATTTTAAAATTTGGAATTTCTGGTTTTGTTTTGTTTTTTGCAATGTGGCAACTTAGGATGCGGTTACACTATTGAAATAAGTTGAGTAATATGTAGAGGTTTTTGAAGTTTATTTAAACTCACATGATAGTCATGTGGTTTTTCAGTCTGGCTGCGTCCTTTTGGGAAATCTTTTAATTTGTTTTTCAGCTGTGTTGTATATTGGTTGAGGGGGCTACACAGGCTTATAAAATTGTTGCATTTGATGCTTTGTCCTGTGCCCGCCCCCCCTCCTTTGTGCTGGCTGCCTTTCATAGCCATTCGCTGCTGCCTGTGATCCCGGCATCTGTTATTTGACAAATCCTACAGACAGCTCACTGCGACAGAAGAGTACATATGCCAAAATGATTCAAAACAAATTGTGCCCACAATTGAGTTAAAATAAACAATCTCCTCAAGGCTGCTTAAAGTACCCCACTTTTTGAACAAAAAAGCATGCTTCCCAGCCAAAAAAGTGTGCTCAGCTATTATATATCATGTTAACAGATATTTTAAGTGTGCTATATTCAAGTGTGCTAAACCTGAAACAAACCCAACTGCAGTCTTAGACAGCTTTCCTTTTCTTTATGAAACAGCTACATTAATGCCACTGAAGTTGTCTTGTGTAGCATATGTATGCAAATATAGCAGCCTTCCTGGCTTTAATAGTTCTCTCTGTCCTTTCTTACCCCAGGTGAATGTTCTAAAACGACAGCAGCGTATGATAAAAAACCGGGAATCAGCCTGTCAGTCACGCAGGAAGAAAAAGGAATATATGTTGAGTTTGGAGGCCAGGTTGAAAGCAGCCTTGCTGGAGAATGATCGCCTTAAGAAAGAGAATGGCTCACTGAAGAGGCAGTTGGATGAACTGGCAGAAGAGGTGGGCATTCAGAATACATACTGGAGTGCTTTGCTGTCTATGATACCATACACTGGACAGGGAACCTGGATTAATAATCTCTCTGGATTGAAAAATTTACCAGCTATTATAGCTTCTATTTTGCATGGATTAAGATCTGGTTACCATCATCTATCTTTTTGCTTACTGCGGCCAGACACTGCTTAAGAGCCAAAGCTGTGAGACAGGGAGAACAACTTGTGGCTCTCCTGATGTTCTTGGACTGCTAGCCCCATCAGAACCTGATAAGGATACCTGACTTCCCCATGAGTCCTATAGAGATTTATAGACCCCCAGGCAAAGAACAGAAGTCTGATTTGTCATAGCTGACATTATTCCAGTAAAGAGTTAATCCCAGAATGAAACCAGACAATTGGTGGCAAGCTTTTCCCAACTCATCTGGGTATCTCATGTATTTTCATTTTTGCAATAATTCAATTCTTTTTTTAAAAAAACCCCTCCGGTTTATGAATGTGGGATATTGTGCTTCTTTCTATATCCACGATTCAAAAAGCCAGGAAATGGCCCGATATTGCTGCAAAATATCATCTCTGTGCTGTCAGCAGGAAAAAGGATGCCAAGCTTTACATAGCAAAGGGGAGCCTGAATGTTGACAACACCAATGGCAGCAGTTAAACTATTCTATAGGCTGTCCTCTTCTGCTAACTACCATTCATACTTGTTGAAAAATAGCCCTGACAATTGCTTTATGTTTGGGTGAGAAGCAGTTAACTGATGAAAAAAGGAGTCAACTTATGGGATTTTCCCTTGCGGTGTGTCACTTTGTGAATGGTAGTGGTGTTGGAGGACTCTTGTTCAGCACCTTGACCATGAGCCTGTGGAGGGTCTCAGGGTTCCAGGATTCCCCATACTGTCTCACATACACATGAAAAACCTGAAAAGAGGATGTTCAGAATTTTGTGGTCCGGTAACACCAATGTGCTGATGACGCCCCAATGCCTTTGCTTTTAAAGATCTTTCAGGAGGCCTTTTTCTCAGTCTCTCAGGCCCCACTGTGTGGTCACTCAGCCCACCCAGCCCCTGCCAATTTCACCATAGAGCCTACAGTACTCTCTTTGTTGTTGTTGTTGTTTAGTTGTGTCCAACTCTTCGTGACCCCATGGACTAGAACACACCAGGCCCTCCTGTCTTCCACTGCCTCCCGGAGTTGGGTCAAATTCATGTTTGTAGTACTCTCTTAGACAGTTGAAATTCCACTAATAAAAGCAACAATCATTATGTGCTTTCTGCTTCATCAATTTAAAAATTCAGTATGAAAAATGGCAGTATTCTTGCTTGAACACCAAGTCAATTGAGTCAGATATTTTGTCTCCAGCTCCAGTAATCCCCACTCCGCATAGCCACTGGTAGAGAATTACATGTATTATAACTCCAATACACATGTAGAGCCAAAAGCCTCCCACTCATGAACTAACAGATAAAACATTTAATCTTTCTTACAAAAACTGGCATAAAATTGAATGAACTACTTCTACCTTGTTATCTTTGAACCAAAACAAGTGAGGTGCTATCTTCACAGAGCATGTTTCCAATTGTACTTTCCCTTTTAATGCACCTCTCTGAGACACATTTTAAATTAACCTTTTATTTTTAGGGCACCCCTCTGCATCTCATAAATTCAAGTGTTTGAATTATTAACTAGTCAGCATAGCCAAGTGGTGGGATGACAGGAATTGCACTACAACAATCGCAGACCACCTGCATCTACTGAGGAGCAAGGAGAGGGAAGTGGCTGGGTAGCAGTGACATCTTGCTTCTCATTTCTTCAACAAGAGAATTGCACAGCAACTTATTAAACCTGTTTGGATTACTGTAACACACTCTGTGTGGGGCTGCCTTTGAAGACGGTTTGGAAACTTCTGCTGGTGCAAAACTCTGCAGCTAGACTGCTGACTGGGGCCAGCTACAGAGAGCATATAATACTCCTGTTACAAGAACGGTACTGGCTACTAATCCGTTTCCGAGCCTTCTTGGCAATAAAGATCAGCAAAGGAGGACCTCCTCTCAGTCCCATTTCTAGTATAAACACAGCTGATGGGGACAAGGGAGAGGGCCTTCTCTGTGGCAGCTCCCAGGCTATGGCCCGTTCTCCATCGGGAGATCAAGATGGCCCCTTCCCTGTTATCCTTCTGAAAAAAGCTAAAGACCCATCTCTTCAGGCTTTTTAACAATTACAACTGAATACCTGAACCCCATTTTAGTAGATAACTTTAATCTTTTTTATGTTATCATGTTTTAATCTTAATTGTATTTTAAATCATATATTGTTTAATTTATCTTTTAATATTTAACTTACTGTGTTTTTAAATTGTAATTTTCCTGCTGTTGCTACTACTGCTACTATTAGTGATAGTAACAGTATCCTGGATGTTGAAAAATTCTTAACTTTCTCTGATGTTCCTTTTCTTCTCTAGAACCAGAATCTCAAGAGCTCCCCTCCAAAGAGAACATTTTATGTGATGGTGCTGTTAGCCTTCATTGTGCTGAATTATGACAGACTAAGGTGAGGGTGAAGCTCCTTTTTTGATCCCTCAGGTCATCAGGTAGGAATTTATGTACAAGGAGTTTCATAAGAGGCATGCATCCTCTTTATTTTTATTCTCTTGCCTCAATGACTTGGTGGAGTCTCCTGGTAAAGTCTACTACTTCACATCTAGGTAAAGGTAAAGGTTCCCCTTGACATTTAGTCCAGTCATGTCCAACTCCAGGGCGCGGTGCTCATCCCCATCTCCAAGCCATAGAGTCAACATTTGTCCATAGACAGTTTCTGTGGTCACGCAGCTAGCGCAACTAGACATGGAATGCCGTTACCTTCCCACTGAGGTGGTACCTATTTATTCACATTTTTACGTGCTTTCGAACTGCTAGGTTGGCAGGAGCCGGGACAAGCGACAGGAGCTCACTCCGTCACATGGATTCAATCTTATGACTGCTGGTCTTCTCACCTTGCAGCACAGAGGCCACCATGTCCCTTTGCATCTATAGATAGCTAAACTTCTCTTCCAGAATGCAACCACAGGAAAGCGTTTTGATGGGACATCCACGACACCCAGCTTTTTAATTTCATTTTACCCCAGCCACTAATATAGCAAATGGTAAGAGATGGGAATGGCAACCCAACATTTAAAGAACCCCAAGTTGCCCACTTCTGCCCAGATACTTTCAGAAGACTTTTCTGCAGCGTACAGTAATTACACTGTAGGTGCACCTGTAATCTGATGTTCTCCAGATCTTTTGAGGGGTGAAACTCATACAATAACTGACCTTTGATGGTGCTGACGAGATTTTAAGAATAAAAATAAAATAATTGGAGGCAGACTAGCATGCCTGTCCCTGCTTTAGACTGTGACAGTGTCAGGAAGAGGCTTTTTCAAGGGTAATTGTTGAATATCTTATGCAAGATGAAACAATGACCTTGAGCCATGCTGCATAGCGAGCACATTAAAATAGGGTAGATACCGTTTTTCCACGAAGGATTTAGCAGTTCTGTATTCCTACCTCTGATTGTTGGTTGTAGCAACATTCTCTTTTCTGCCCTTGGTTTTCCTGTTGTTGTCTGTTCATGGGTAGCAAGAGAAAATTGTAAGAGTAAAAAACAGAATCTGAGATGCAAATTGTAGGTTTATAATTATAAAACAAAATGGAATATCTTTTAAAAAAATAAACCATGTATAGCTTTCAAAATTTAATTGAAATGTATTTCTAATCATTGTAGAGTGAATAAAAAAAGAAGACAGAATTGATTAGATTAAGGTGGTCAAAATGCATTTGTATATGTTATGTTAGACTGTAGCTCGCACCAGCCCAAGCCAGCACAGCCAATTATGAGGAAGTTTGGGAGAAGCAATCCAGCAACATTTGAAAGGCGGCGCTTTGCCTTCCAAGTAGTCTTTGGTTTGCTTTGTCTAGCTTTCAGATGTTAACAGGGTTAAGATTTTCCAAAATGGACAAGATTTTCCATATTTCTTTGTTCACTCTTTTAAGAAATGGAGACAGATACTCTCTAAGCAAAGGAACTGGTTTGAATTTTCCAGATTCTAAATAACACTTAATTGCAGCCCACCCACCTGTGAATAAGAACTGTTCTGATCTAGCGAGAAGGGCAGCTACCCCATTTTTCAGTTTGTATGTGAAGCTGACAAGATGACTTGAGTTCTAGGGGGAGGTTAGGCATCAGTTTTGCTTTACCAACTAGTGAAAAATTCTGAAGGTGTTGAACATACGAAGACTGCGGTACTGTACATATTTACTTGTGAATAAAGCTTATTGAATGTTGGGTAAATTTACTTGTCTGTAAATATGGACAGTCCTGCCAATCTAGCAGTTCGAAAGCATGCAAAATGCAAAATGCGAGTAGATAAATAGGTACCACCTCGGTGGGAAGGTAACAGCGTTCTGTGTCTAAGTCGCACTGGCCATGTGATCACGGAAGATTGTCTTCAGACAAAACCCTGGTTCTATGGCTTATAAACGGGGATGAGCACCGCCCCCTAGAGTTGAGAAAGCGTTTTGATGGGACATCCACGACACCCAGCTTTTTAATTTCATTTTACCCCAGCCACTAATATAGCAAATGGTAAGAGATGGGAATGGCAACCCAACATTTAAAGAACCCCAAGTTGCCCACTTCTGCCCAGATACTTTCAGAAGACTTTTCTGCAGCGTACAGTAATTACACTGTAGGTGCACCTGTAATCTGATGTTCTCCAGATCTTTTGAGGGGTGAAACTCATACAATAACTGACCTTTGATGGTGCTGACGAGATTTTAAGAATAAAAATAAAATAATTGGAGGCAGACTAGCATGCCTGTCCCTGCTTTAGACTGTGACAGTGTCAGGAAGAGGCTTTTTCAAGGGTAATTGTTGAATATCTTATGCAAGATGAAACAATGACCTTGAGCCATGCTGCATAGCGAGCACATTAAAATAGGGTAGATACCGTTTTTCCACGAAGGATTTAGCAGTTCTGTATTCCTACCTCTGATTGTTGGTTGTAGCAACATTCTCTTTTCTGCCCTTGGTTTTCCTGTTGTTGTCTGTTCATGGGTAGCAAGAGAAAATTGTAAGAGTAAAAAACAGAATCTGAGATGCAAATTGTAGGTTTATAATTATAAAACAAAATGGAATATCTTTTAAAAAAATAAACCATGTATAGCTTTCAAAATTTAATTGAAATGTATTTCTAATCATTGTAGAGTGAATAAAAAAAGAAGACAGAATTGATTAGATTAAGGTGGTCAAAATGCATTTGTATATGTTATGTTAGACTGTAGCTCGCACCAGCCCAAGCCAGCACAGCCAATTATGAGGAAGTTTGGGAGAAGCAATCCAGCAACATTTGAAAGGCGGCGCTTTGCCTTCCAAGTAGTCTTTGGTTTGCTTTGTCTAGCTTTCAGATGTTAACAGGGTTAAGATTTTCCAAAATGGACAAGATTTTCCATATTTCTTTGTTCACTCTTTTAAGAAATGGAGACAGATACTCTCTAAGCAAAGGAACTGGTTTGAATTTTCCAGATTCTAAATAACACTTAATTGCAGCCCACCCACCTGTGAATAAGAACTGTTCTGATCTAGCGAGAAGGGCAGCTACCCCATTTTTCAGTTTGTATGTGAAGCTGACAAGATGACTTGAGTTCTAGGGGGAGGTTAGGCATCAGTTTTGCTTTACCAACTAGTGAAAAATTCTGAAGGTGTTGAACATACGAAGACTGCGGTACTGTACATATTTACTTGTGAATAAAGCTTATTGAATGTTGGGTAAATTTACTTGTCTGTAAATATGGACAGTCCTGCCAATCTAGCAGTTCGAAAGCATGCAAAATGCAAAATGCGAGTAGATAAATAGGTACCACCTCGGTGGGAAGGTAACAGCGTTCTGTGTCTAAGTCGCACTGGCCATGTGATCACGGAAGATTGTCTTCAGACAAAACCCTGGTTCTATGGCTTATAAACGGGGATGAGCACCGCCCCCTAGAGTTGAACACGACTGGACAAAAAAATTGTCAAGGGGAACCTTTACCTTTACCTTTTAAACATGGACAGGATGCTGCTGCTAGTAAATCTGTATCCAGTGGCAAAGATTTTGATTTGTATGTCAGGCATACCAGGGCTGAAAAATAAAGGGAGCTCTCTGTCTCTATTACTGTTACTGCGTTTTGTTTCTAACACTGAGTGAAATATTGGGACACTTACTCAGGTGGGAAGAGAGGATCTTTGCATGGGCTTGTTGCTACCCACCCAGCTGCTTATCGCTGTTGAATGTGCATTCTGCTGTTTCCAGAGTGGTCCAGCAGATGGTGCCTTAGCCACATTAATAAGCCATGGGCTGGAGCTAATGTAGAAGAACTGGCAGAAAGGAATGAGAGAGCGCGAGAGCTCTGCTCCTGTAACTTGCCAGCCTTGTCCGTTTTTCATTTATCCTGTTGGAAACTCCCCAACTCTAATTCAAGGATTATTCTGTCCTCAGAAAACTTTTATAACCAAGCATGTGTTTGTATGATATCACTCTTGGCCACAGCTGAACAGTTACTGTACAAGATTCTCTCTCTCGTTTTTTTAAATCCTGACATTTTAATTGTGCAGGGCTTGGTTTTTAACTAGATTTACAAATCAAATCCAGTTAAGATTGCTGGCTTAAAAGGCCTTCCTATTTATCAGTCTGACACACAGCTCAGGGGAGCAAGAGCATAGCTGAGCATCAGGTGGTCATGTGCACTTTGTGGCTGAGCTTTTGTAGAGGTGAGGGAAGCATCTTCCATTCTCTGTTTTCCCCTCTGACGTTGTCTCAAAAGTGGCCGAGTCTCTCATCTGCCTTATTTGGCTTGTGCCAAACCTGTCAGTGTGGGCAGAGAGGAGTTCATTGTTATTCTTTCTTCTCTTCAGGGATATCATTTACACAGTGTACTCTTACACACTCCCTGTGTCCCACCCATGTTGTCTCATATAAACTCTAGAAGATCTGTTGGATTGAGACACGATCATTGAGCCTGTGAGATTCATGGATCACAGAGCACAAGTCTGTGGCATTTTTCTGGAGAAGAGTGATGGATTTGATGCTGTTGCTCTTTTATTGAGGCTACAACACCTCTGGGCCAGACCACTCAGCAATTATCTCCACAAATTCCTCTGTCTTGTGCAGATTGGGTCTCAGTTAATTATTTCCCTAGTCAAAGAATTCCAGCATTCTCTAACACTGAGAACAAGAAGCTTTTCTCCTGCATTTCCAGTGTTGTTCATATACTCTGGCTCTGATCCTTATAATAGCAAACATGTAATAAGGCCAGGATTGTCATCCTCATATTGTAGGTTTTGGTGGACAAGGACAAAGAGCATAGTAGCATGTTTAATTTGAGGTAAGACTGTATTTTCCTAGTATTGTGCTATACCAGCACACTGTAAAGCTTCAAAAATCATCTGTGTGCTGATTAGGAACTCCCAGATCTGACCAAAGAACAAATTGCAACAACGTTCTACACTAAGGTTCAGCTGTTACTTGGATAAGTAACTTTATCTGGGGAAATCGGCAGTTGTCAGCCTCAGCTGCTCCAGATGTGATACTTATCTTGAAAATTACCACAGGAAGCTGTACTAGGATTAATTTACTTTGTGTTTTTTGTTTTTGTTTTTGTTTTGCTTTCAGTGTGCTCGAATGGAGTCCCAGCTCTTCTGAAGTTCATACCAGGCCTGCTCCTCACAGTAGGCATCTTCTTGGATTTTCTGCAAGCATACCTCAGGAAACAGAAGGCAAGAATAATGATGGGTGAGCATAAAAGCATCTATTTTTTGGGATTCTAAATTTCCAGCATGTTGCATATATACAGAGGTAATTTATATGTTTAGAGTGTTTTTTAATTCATGTTCAGCAGTGTTCCGTAACAGGTACTCACTTTAGGCAAAATAACATTGGATCCAACAAGAGTCCCAACCTTCTCTAGAGTCTGAAGAAAATGAGGAATGATGTATTGAGTCCCTTAGAGCAGTGGTCCTCAACCTTGGGCCTCCAGATGTTCTTGAACTACAACTTCCAGAAGCTTTCACCACTACCTCTGCTGGCCAGGATTTCTGGGAGTTGAAGTCCAAGAACATCTGGAGGCCCAAGGTTGAGGACCACTGCCTTAGAGGCTTAAAGAGCAGCGGGCAACCAATTTTCCCAAGCTCTGCAGAAGCTAGCATAATACGGACAAAGATCAGCACTCTTGGCAGCCTAGAACCAGGGGGGAGGTCAGAACAAAGTGTTTGCTGTCCTCCTGGTTTTCAGAGGCCCAGGGCTAACTGTGTTCTCCTGATGGTGGTGTGAGCTCTTTCTCCTTGCAGGTAGATAGAGTGAGAAGCACTGGGGCTTATAATTGTAGAGAAGGGCACAGGTAGTGTGACAAGAGCCTCCTTCTAGGATGGGCTAAGTCTTTGAAAAACACAGTTTTTCCTATGTGCAGCTGATCTTGACATGGTTATACATCCCTTGGTCACATCCATACAGTATTAGAAATGCAGTAGGGAATAATCTCTCAAGAGGAATAGGGGACGACAGAGGATGAGATGGTTGGACAGTGTCATTGAAGCGACCAACATGAATTTGACCCAACTCCAAGAGGCAGTGGAAGACAGGAGGGCCTGGCGTGCTGTGGTCCATGGGGTCATGAAGAGTCGGACACGACTGAACGACTAAATAACAAGGGAATAATTGCTTGTTTGTTAGAATAATGTAACATTGGTGGTATAACATGCATTTTATAGCCACTTGTCTTCTTCCCAGTTAGTTTCCTGGCCCAGTTCAGGGTCTAGGCCTCTGGAATGTGGTCTATACCATACCAGGGTTGAGGTGAAAAGTGCAGAAATGGGAAGCCATTTTTCGAATGTGGGTATTGGTGGTCTGTACCCTTGGGATAGAAACAGATGCAATAGATGAGTATAGGGCAAGGAGTATTGTGGGAGTTGGGACTGAAGTATTTATGGAGCAAGGTAGACGTAGCAAAACATAGAAAGGAGTTTGAGAAGCAGTTTCTTAGGGGTACAGAAAGAAGATTACAATGTACATCAGAGGAAGAGGGACAGCCTGGAGGCAACACATTAAAAAGTAACACTGTTTCTTGCTTTCCTGAGTAGTTGATGTTCCTTTTTAGCAGTAGTGGAATGCCTTCTGCTTTTTCAACACAACTACTGCTATCATTATGTTCACTGCTCATGTTTACCTTTAATTATAAAAGGGGCAGGCATGTGCTGTTCTAATTTGAATCTGAAAATTCAAGTCCTGTGCTGCTCAGACAGGATAAAATCCCCCCACCCCCCTCTCTGCAACAGCTGCCGAGTCTGATAAGTATGGGAGGCCTCTCTCCACACTTTCTGGAGGGCGAAGGTGCCCTGGCACTTGGTTAATGCCCCAGACATCTATGTTGGGTTGCCTTTTACATTTCCTTGATTCTACTAAAGGTAGAACTGGACATCCTCCCTCCACCTTACACAATTAAGGATCACTGAATTCTGATTTTGAAATGTAAGTAACCATCATCATATGCTTGTTAAGGTGAAGGTCAAGTAAGGAAACTAGCTAGTTTTGGAAGCTAATTTTTAGAAATGGGCACTATCAGCCGATTCCGTGGTTTGTGTCAGTTCAGCCAATGGTTGAACAGGTATTCTGAGATTCAGCGCCCCACTCCTTCAGAGGCAGCACCTACAAGGAAGTTTATTTTCAGTGCCCACAGAGAAGCCATTGGCTGAAACGGCCTGAACCACTGAACCAAAGGTTCCTGCCCATCTCTACTAATTTTCCAAGTTCTGGGAAGGAGGTTGGAACTGCAGCAGTTGAGAGAGCACAGGATGTTCTCAAAGGAGTTAAAATATGGGCACCCCTGGTCATCCTCAATCAGCTGAAAATCCTTGAACTCCTTGGAATGCTGTGCCAGGTTTCTACAGTGATTGTTGGATAGCTCATCATGAGAGATCTTTCAGGACAGATTGAAAAGCTGATATATGGAAGATGAGAGAATTTATTTTAGGGTTCAGTGTGCCAGTATTTGTACAGGTGGCACATAGCTGCAGCTGCTTGCTGAGCTCTTTCTGCAAATACTCCAGGAACAGGAAAAGTACATGAGCAGAGAGCTGTGTGACCCAGGACAGTCCTCTGTGAACATGTACTAAGAATGCATGCTGTAGTGATTTCCATCTTTCTTGACAATTTTTGTCTATAAATGTCTATAAATTAGAAATACAGATTATGTAAATAATCCTCTCTGTGCATCCTTAAATGTACACTTGTCATTTCTGATACAAATCTGACTTTTACTAGACTAAAGGTTTGTTTTCTTCACCTCATAGAAAGCTAGATTGTAGAGTATGCCTAGTGTTTTGGTCTAGGTATTTCTCATAACTTTTGTGCAGCTTCTCTTTCCATCTCTTTCTGCATCTGTGTTCACCAGCTCTCTGTTTCTCTAGTCTGACATTCCTCACTCATTGTCTCTTCTTTCTCTGACTTGTTGCATTCCAGTGATGGTCGGTATTCTTAAATGACTTCTCATCCATTTTTATTTGACCAGGCCAAGTTTACTCTCTCCCAGTGTGGGAGATCTATCCTTGTGGCTTCTTCCCAGACAGCTCCAGGATATTTTGGAGATAGAAGCCACAGGAGTGGGGCCAAATACATGACCCTCAAGTGCCCTCTGTTGCTGGCTGAGTACGAAACTGGCCTAACAGAAAAATTGTGATGGAATTGAAGACTGGAATGGGTATTTCCTTTCTGTCCTGAACCACCACAGGAGGAACTGACCATGATCTAAACAAATTCAGTTGAAAACAGAACTGGAAAAAAATTCATTCACAACTGGCCTGTAGGCAGAAAGTGTTCTTTTCCTCATTCTTCCATTCCTGTCAGCCCAGGGGGTACTTTGTTCCTTCAGAGGGCACGCAGTCCCCATATAGGCCTTTCTTGTGGTGTTTTAACTCCTGCTTGTTTTCATAAAGCCCAGCATCCTGGCTTCTGCACATTCCAACTCATTTCCATAAAACCATGACTGTTCAGTATCCTGACAATGTGATGGTCTGTCTTGGACAGCAAGGTCCTCCCAGTCCAGTTGTGCTTCCTACTCAGGGCATATATTTTGTTCAGATAAGCCAGTCCCCAAAAGGACATTTTGTTTGCATTGGGGTGGGGAATGTGCAATCCAGGCATGTAAGTAGGTTTGTATTTCTGTGCTTTTTCTTAAGCTTCTTTAGTTGCAGTTTATATTTGGTTTTAGAAAACAAAATTTACGGAACAATTTGCTGCTGACAACATTGCATACAATATGAAAAGTCTATCTAGTCAAATGATTAAGCCCATTATAAAATTACTATAGCATTTCTTCCCCATGGCAACTTAAGTTACTGTGTCTGGTCATTTGAATATTTAAGGGAAGCATCTTGTCCTTGGCTGTGCATTTGGTCCTGCTGCTCCAAGCGAGTCTGTTGCTGCCATCTGGTTCATGGATTGCTTGGAAAGCACCCCCTCAACCCACCCTTTTCTGTATTCCTGTTAATGTTCTTGTTGGCCTGTTACAGGGGCTTACTTTTTGGTGGTGTATAAATCTGTGCTTAATCATCTCCAGATTGAAACTTTGGCTTTTCCAACTAATGAGTTATTTCATCCTATTGGAGCCCTTCCTCTCCAATAAGCTATTTTTTTAAAAAAACTGTTGGGTACAGATGTGTTGAAAGCACGAATAGCTGAGAATGTTTTGGAAATCAGGCGACAGGATAAGATTGTTCATAATATTTTTACAACAAAGGTTCTCTGTTGTAGACTGTGGGCAGATGTAAGCTCCAGAGAGGCTGACAACATTGTGCTTGTACTCCATGGTTAGATTCTTTTGGTGCAGTTGGAAAGGTGAGGTTGGGATGATGTAGAATTTCCATTGTGCTTTATCCAAATAGAAGTGCAGTTAAAAGCATAAGAACTGCCTTTTTCTGAGCTACTGACTATGTCTGCTTATTTTTGGCTCACTATTAATGTATATATCTCTGTAAAGAAGAAGAGCAGGTTTTTGTTTGCATCCTAAATACTATTCCATAGGCCATAGGGGAGAGGCAAAGATAAAATAGGAAACAGCCTCAAATTGTTTGACTTGACATCAGGAAAAAGCAGTGTCCTTCAGAATGGAATGGTGCCAGCCTGAGTGCCCACCCTCTAATTTTCAGCCCTTCTGGGCGGAGCTCCACGTCTCTTGGGTGGACTTTGCCCAGGCTTGTGCGTGCGACTCCGCCCCCGTCCCCCCCCTCGGAGGGTTCCGCTGTGACTGGAGCCAAAGGGGGGCTGAACGCAATCGCTGAGTGGAGGAGGAAGAAAGCCACATGGAGGGAGGCAGAGTTGCACGCGTGCAGTTTAGAGGAAACCTTGATGCTCACTGTATAACCCCAGTCACCAAAAAACAACAACAAAAAAACCCCTCATCTGGAAAGACTGTTAGAAATTAGATCATTCATCCCCTCTTTTTCCTGTTATTCCAGCTTCCAACCTCTTCTTAAAGCTTGGACAAAATGTTCCTGTATTCTTTGAGCAAGACATACAATTTAGGCAGAATTAATTAGCATTTTAATGTATGCAATTTGACTTTCTAGACAGTTTTTTAAAAATGTGTTATGCATATACGTATCTTCCATCACAAAGATTGTTCTCATATACTGTACTGTTTTTAACAAAGCCCTGGCTCTAATCCAAGGTAACTGAAATCTGCCTTCCTATTGTCATGGCAGTTTAGCTATGTGTATTTGCTTTTCTTTCAGCATGGAGTTCTATGCTTGGTGGCATTTGAATTAGCTTGAGCAGCTGTTGTACAAATAAACTTCTGACTTCTAAAATGTATTTCTTCCCACACGAGGTGATTTTTTGAAGAGAAGATACTCTTCTGTCAATGGAGGTTCTCCACTTGATTAGGAATGCTGTCGGGATCTGCAAGATGAGAGGAAGTAGGGATCTTGCAGATGAAGCCTCAGGGCAGGGATCTTTCTCCTCAACCAGCAAGGAGAAAGGAAAAGAGACACGAGACACTCAGAGTGTGGTTTTCAGGATGGGATCCGGATGAATACAGAACAGCCTGTCGTGAGGCACCTGTTCAGTGGGAGTTCTTCTTTCTCGATCCGGCCTCCCCTCAGTTTATTGTATCCCCTACCTTTGAACAAGTTAATCAATACAGAGGTAACTAATTTCTTGAATACACAACAGAATAACCAGAGTTAGAGACAGCTAATTTCCTTGAATACACAGGCATCAGTAAACAGAGTGGTTGGTAAACAGACAGGCTGGGAAACAGACAGCTAATAGTAAACAGACACAGATAACTTCAAATACACAGATAAGTTCCTGAATACACGAACACTTTAACTACATTATCCAGAGATAGGTAAACAGCAGGTTAATGAATCATGTTACTGGAAGCTAGTGACTTGCAGTCTTAGCATGAGGCCTGCCATTGCCATAGATATATACATTTGCTACTGCCACAGACATATACATTGTAACAGCATAACAGCATAAATTTTCCCCACAGAATGCACAACATTTGTTCTGGATTGCATAAAGAACCTCCAGAGGGAGAAAAGGCCTCTACATAAAGTCACCTTTCTTGTGAGCAGTAAAAAAAAACATGAGGAAGCAGGTGGGCCTGTGTGCTTCTCCTTTTCATGAGTTTTGTCATTCCAGTTTCCTAACACTTGAATTGGGGCTTTTAAGTTCCTCAGTCCTGTTGTACCTGTGGAATCTAAAACCAAGGCATCCCTGATTGCTACAAACCATAGCGGTTTATTTGTATTGTAGGTATATTATTGATATCTTTTTTTTTCTAGGTATAAACATCCTGTTTCAGATAATAAAGCACTGATGGTACTTACTGAAGAACCAATAATATACGTTTCTCCACCACCCTGTCAGCCATTCATCAACCGCACTGAGTCACTAAGGTAAAACAACTTGCTAATTGGGAATTATTCTAGTGAAGGGTATCACCACACCAGAAAAAGGAGATCTTTTCTACCAACTAACCAACAATTCAATTGCCGTTCCAGGAACCCTCCACTTTTAAATAAATTGCAGATCCTTGCAGTGTTTAAAATCAAACCTCTCAACATTTTTCAAAGCAGTTTGACTTTGTGCTTTCCCCCCATTTATCACAGGCTTTGTGGCCCCTGGAGCATCTCATAGTCACAAAACTGACTACTAGGTCCACCACCTGGCCTTAATGTTTGATACACTCAGAAATTTAGTGACTGGTAGCTGTGCTACAATTGCCTAGAGCTTTGAATCATGTATCTGTGTTTTTCATTGACCCAGATCATCTTGCAAAATTGTGTTGGGATAATGCCAAGACTGTAACTTCTGGAAGCAAAGGCCTTAAATTACAAAATCACCACAGACATTCTTTGCATTCTGAGTCATGCAACTCGGTGCATTACAGATAATGTATATGATGATTTTGTAATTTGAGGAATTTGCCTTCCTTAATGCCATTAGAACAGTACTAGCATAGCTATGCAAGAAAAGTTTGGCATATATTTATATCCAAGAAACAAACTTGTGAATCCCTTAACACTTTTTCATTTGGAAGAACAAAGCAGAGCTGTAGCTCATTCATCATCATCATCATCATCATTTATTGTCATTGTAAGTATATACACAGTATATCATACAACGAAATTCACAGACACCCAGAGACCAGACACATGCACACACATAAAATTCCCAAACACTCCCCACCCACTAAAAGTCCCCCACTAAAAATACAAACATCTACACCGCAGGCCAAGTTACACAGTCCAACTAATTATTCACTACTGGTGGTCTTTAAGCTCATTATTAATTGCAATTATAGCTCTAGGATAAAAACTATTTAGAAAACGTGTGGTCCGAGTCTTAATTGTTCTATATCTTCTGCTAGGTGGTAACAGTTCAAAAAAGTTATAAGCAGGATGGGAAGAGTCTCTCAGGATGCTATGTGATTTCCTTAGACAGCGGGATGTGAAGATGTCATCCAGGGTTGGTAGCTGGAGCCCGATGATATTCTGGGCAATTTTAATGGTTCTCTGTAGAGCTTTTTTGTCCGCTACAGAGCTACTCCCAAACCATGCCAAAATGCCATAGGTTAGGACACTCTCAATGGTGCTACGATAGTATGACAGAAGTAAATGCTGAGATAAATTTAACTTGCCGACCATTCTCAGGAAATACAGCCTCTTCTGTGCCTTCTTCATTAGCATGTTGGCATTTATAGTCCATGAGAGGTCCTCTGAGATGTAAGTACCCAGAAATTTAAAACTACCAACTCTCTCCACTTCCTCACCATTTATGTACAGTGGTAAATGTACATTTTTCTTCCTCCTAAAATCAATTATGAGTTCTTTAGTTTTTTTGATGTTAAGTGTGAGATGATTTTCTTTACACCAAAGTATCAACCTTTGTACTTCCTTTCTATAAGCAGACTCATTGTTCTTATTTATTAGCCCCACCACTGTCATATCATCCGCAAATTTAATAATTGCATTGGTGTTATACAGTGGGGTGCAATCGTGTGTGTACAGGGAATAGAGGAAGGGACTTAGCACACAGCCCTGGGGAGCTCCTGTACTTAGTACCAGGGTAGAAGAATGGTGAGATCCCATCCTTACTGACTGTGGCCTCTCTGTCAGAAAATCCTTTATCCACATGCAGATCTCCTGAGGTAATCAATAGATGTTGCTTATTGACTTGTGCAGGGCCCAGATGTTTCCTTCCCCTGTCTCCAAAGCAGAGGTTCTCAACTTTGGACCTACAGATGTTTTGGACTTCAGTCCCTAGAAACCCCAGCCAACATGACCGGTGTTCAAGGATTCTGGGAGTTGAAGTCCAAAATATCTGGAAGTCAAAAGGTTGAGGCCCACAGTTCTTTAAAGAGGTGATTTGCATGAGTGCTGTTCTGTCTAGTTCTTTTAGGATCTTTCTTGCAAAAAGGTGATTATTTTCTCCTTCACTTTTTGGCAAGATTTTATCTGGCTCTCTTTGGTCTTCAATGCAGAGTTAGATTAAAGGAAATAATGAACTGCCTTTGCTGCTTTCTGGGGATCTTCAAATTGTTTACCGAACTCTTTACAACTTTATGTAAATGGATTTGATTTCTGTCAAGATCTTTGAAGTTGTGGAAAGGGTGATACTTTTTCTCCCTCAAAAACATCTCTGTTTTCCCAAGAAAAATGTAAGTTTGGTGTTTTATCTACAGGTTGAGTCATGAGCTACGAGGTTGGGTTCATAGACATGAAGCAGAAAGGACAAGATCAAGGAGAATGTCAAAAAATCAGCAGCAAAAGGATCAGGTTGTCCAGGTGGGTTTATGCTTGCACAAGTGCTGTTGCCTTGTGCAAGAAAGTGCAAAAATAATGGCTTGGAACGGGTAAGAAGAAGAGTCACCAGACTGTAAGGCCACCAGTCTCCTAGTGTGGACCATTGTACTTGGCCCTACTTCACCCATGCAGAGGCTTAGAGTTCCAGTAAACGTAAGCCCTAGAACATAGTAATCTGTCCATGACATCACAACCATTCTGCTCAGTACAGACAAGCAAATCAAGAGTGCACCCTGCAACATGAGCGGAGCCGGATACCAGCTGGGACAGCCCCATGGTTGCAATGGTAGACACAATATCCTTTACTGCTCCTGATAAATTGATCTCTGCCAAGAGGCATGGTGCAAGGTCTCTTAGGAAAGTAAGATTTCACTAGCTAGCAGAGTTGTTTAGTGTGTGTACACACACACACACAACACACACACACTCACACACACACACACTCCCTCCCTCACTCACTCACTCTACCCCAACGTGTATAAGGAAAGTCTAGACAAATAAAGATGTATACACAGCTATATTGGAAACACAAAAAGGCCCATAAATGAGTGATTTATATTTCTCATTTCTTTCAATGCTTTTTCCTGGGATATATCCAGCATTCTTCTGGAATCTGCTTTTCTTCCCAATGTGATATATTACTTCCCTTCAAGGGGATCAAGCAGGAACCTGAGTTTTATTGTTTAATGGTACTGTTTGCTAAAAGAGGATGGGTAGGTGATAATGGTCTGCTTTCCCATGATACATTGGGCTACAGAACATATTGGCTGTCTCTAATATTTTTGTATAATTGGTACTGTATTTGCCGGCGTATAAGATGACTTTTTTGGCGCACAAAACATGCCTCCAAGTGGGGGGGGTCTGTCTTATACGCTGGGTGCACTTCAGTTGGGCCAAGAAGGAGCCGCCGTTGCCGCTGTTGAGTGAGTGACGTGGGACTGCGCCGGCCAGGGAGGAAGGCGGGCAGGCAGGCGGTCGGTCCGGACGGAGGGAAACAGAGCCAGCCATGCCTGAGCGGCCAGAGCCCG